ACGACCCAACCATGTGGTTAGGTATGAACCAGCTCATGTGGCTAGATACAATCCAGTCCATGTGGCCATGTATAACCCAACTCATATGGTAAGGTACGACCCAACCATGTGGCTAAGCATGGGCCAGCCTATGTGGCTAGGTACAACTCAATCTAGGTGGTCAGATACGACCCCAACTCATATGTCTATGATCAATTCATGAGCCAAGCATGGCTTAGTTCAATGGTAAGGCCCAGCCCAACTTATAAGTGAGGCTTAGCCTAGTCCATGAAGTTAAGCCTACCTAGCTACGCGATTGATATTAGACATATCATCGCTCCTTTTATATAGCCCGTCGTACCTCAGCTCAACCTAGTATTTGGAACAGGTATATGCAATGTATATGACCCGCCCAAGACTCAGGTGGGTTGGTTCGGTTTGGGTTAGTACTATACGACATAGTCCAATCTCCTTCTCTATTGGTTTGAGCTCATTAATTGACGAAATCAAATAGGTTTGATCAGTTAAAGCTGATTTAGGGTGATTCCAAACTAACTTGACTGGTTCAAACCTATTTGACCTAATCGAGATCAATCAAATCTAAATTAGACCGGTTTAGGGTGATTCCAGACTGGTTCCATAAGGATTTGGTATTGATTCCGTTAGATCATAATCGAATTGAGTTTGGTTTAAGTCAATTGAGCTATTCCAATTAGGGTTTTGATTGATTGAGGACTATTGAGATATTGATATTTAATGCTTTTATGATATGATGAATTTAAAGGTTTTATCTGAAGATGTCATTTAAAAATGATTATTGGTTTTCTATGTTTATGATATTGATATGATAAGTATCATGTAGTAGATGTGACTAGACTAGTAGTTCACATTGGGAGTGCAACATGTGAAAGGAGCTACGAGCCCATCATAGTGCGGAGCCACCAATGAACATAGTCTAGTAGATTTACATCAAGTATAGTCTCTCATAATATTTAATCATATTGATTTTTTGATGTATGCATGAGTGATTGAATGAGTGTAAATAAATGATCATAGATGTTTATGTATTCCTACCGAGGGCAGGTATGGCGATTCCCTTCAGGGATTAGCGGGCCGTCAGACGTGGTGGTTAGACGGTTCCTCCATCCGCTGTTGGGAGGAACGTGTCCCCACTTGGGCGGGTGAGGGATACCACTCCATCCGCTGTTGGGAGTGCGATATGGATTATCTCCATCCGCTGTTGGGAGGAATCCATCCCGTGGAATATGCCTCTCCATCCGCTGTTGGGAGAACGCACCATTGGGTGATGTACGCCTTTGTTATTATGTATGTGTTGCATGTGGCTGATGCATGATTTTGTTTATTATGCAAGAAATTATCATCATTTTTCTGATGCATAAGTTTTATGATGAATAGATATATTTTCATATTGAATTATTGATATTTTTTTATATTTCATGAATATTGAAGATTATTTTTATGAATTTTCTAAGGTTCCTACCAGCATGTGTGATTGCTGATATATTTTTATTTTATATTTATTTTCAGAGTAATCTACTATTGTGTAATAGATCTGAAGCTTGGGTGGAAGAGACTTGTGACCCTGTGAAGAAGATGTCATTTTTCTAGCTAATAGAATATCTACTACTGTAAAGACAATGATTTGAATTCAAATACGAATGAAAAGAAAAGGAGGGAGTTTAATTCAAAGCGAATGAAAAGAAAAGGAGGGAGTTTATTTTGTAAATTATGGATAATAAATTTTTGATTTATTATTCATTTTATAAATTCGGGATGTGACACTTTTTTGCTCCAGAAGCCATGGATACTTGAAAATGTGGCATAAATACTTAAAAATATTTTATTCTTAAAATTATACTTGATTTCGTATCAAAATGATAAATGTCTATCATTATGATGAGAGGTATCGAACTTATCATACTTAATTTCCTACTTTCATTTGGTATCATGCCTCGAATTGATGAATTATCATCTTTTATCAAACTTAAAATTTGAATCTTGCTAAATTTCATATTTGAAATTTGTATCATACTTGAAAATGACCATTCGATATTGGAATTAAAAATGGATGTTATGCCTTGAATATGGTATTGTGATAAATATATGGTATCGTATTTTGAGATGGTAAATCATGATTAGTTTTTTGATTTGCATGCCAATAAGTTTAAATGCATATAACTTATCGGCTTAATGCTTGAATTCAAATGCCTTAAATTTAAAAGTATATTTTCTCAAGTATGACATATAGATAGGGGAGTTAAGGTTAACTCCGTCATCAATTTATTGTCATCATAAAAAAGGGTGAGATTATTGAATCTCGGATTTTGATGATGAAATCAATTGGTAAATTATTTGATCCAATCTCTATATGTGGAGAAAAGTGTGCAGGATTAACTACGATAGCGATCCAAGGCATAAAGCAAAACAAAGTGCTAGAGTCAAGATCGAGAATTCGTTGGGAGTTCAAGAGTTCGTCAATAGTCCAGAGGTTCGTCGGAAGTGCTAATGGAATTGGCCGAGAAGTCCAGGAGCTTGTCGGGAGTCCGCTAGAAGATTGCTAAGAGATCATCTAAAGTCCGCCGAAAGCTCGCCAAAAGAAACATAGACTTACTGGACTTGTTTTGTTTAGTGTATGCTTTAAAAATCGAAGTTAGCATATAATTATGGTTAGGTTTGGGAGGTAATCCTATTAAATCCATTAAGTGCCAACTGGGCCCATAATTAGATAGGTTTGGGTCGGATTCAAGGCCCAAATAGGTTGCTGAACCTTGTTTGGCGGTGGCACCGCCAGATTGGGGCGGTGGAACCACCCAGGGCTCAGTCTCCAAGAAGCCTGGGCGGTGGTATCGTCAGAACCTTGAAAACCGAGGATGTGACACTTTTTGGCTCCAATTCTAAACCCAATTGAGGGTTATAAATACCCCTTACTTCTCAACCGGTAAAACATAGAGATGTGATAAGAACTGAACTGAAACTATAGTGAAATAGCTTGCAAAAGTTAAGAGTTCACCTCCATCATTTATAAGTGTGAAAGTTTGTAAAATGAGAGTGAACCACTTATAAAAGTTCTGTAAAAGGGTGATTGATCTTTTCCCTTCGAGAAAGATCAATAGTGGAAACCAGTGACCTTATTGGAGGAGGTATCGAGAGTGGATGTAGGTCAGACGATCGAACCACTATAAAATTAGCATATTCTCTTCTTGGTGCGTACTTTACTTTTGCTGTATTCTACTTCATTTCAAACTGTCCAATCCCCTCCTCTCTACTCACTTACAAACTTATTCGAGTCAAACGTCTTTTTAAAATAGTTTTCGTCAAACTAAGAGTTTCATCGTACGAAGTTTTTTGAAATTAATTAAATTTATCGTTTTTATCCCCTACACTAATCCCCCCTCCCCTTATTGTCGTTCTTGATCCTAACAACAAATACTCCCAAAATCCATTGTCATTACCTTGTTTTATATGTATTGACGCTCCAATGATGCACAAATACTAGTTGTAAGATCTAAGTCAACCTTACGCTACTAAGTCCTCTCATAAAATCTCATATGCCACCCTACCCTACCTTATGCTATCAATCTTGCTCAACGAGAGAAGAGGAGTCATTGGTTACTTTATGCTAATACTTCCCTAAAATGTCTATGGCCTAAACCCATTATCATCATTATGTTCTCATTTTGAGTCAGGTCATCGATATCTTATTACCTCCTTTTATATGTATTGATGCTCACAAATACTAGTTGTAAGATCTAAATCAACATCATCGCTGCAACCATCGTATTGATCATACATGAGTTCATGCATGGCCTATCTATATTTTTCTTGTTCTTTGGCTTTCTTTTGGAATGAATCCTCATTTGCTTATTGTAACTTCTCTTAAAATATTTTACCGATATCCATCAAAATCTTTTTGCATTTATAAAATTAAAATATTTGCCAACCAAATGTTATTCTAATAGGGTGATTTCTCTATCCAATTGATATAATCATAATAAATATATTATCAATGATAATGATTGTTGTCCAAATGGTGGGTATGATCCTAAGTAGTATTATATGTCTATTCCTTTGATGCTATATTTCTACTAATATTTACAAAATTAACAAGCTACAATTAACTCTAATTGTCATCAAATTTGAAATAACAAGTTATGATTTATGTAATAGGTCTAATTTAACACTAAAAATATGCGTTTGACCCTAATCATTATTCACTAGGTTGAATGGAGGGTCTAATATGGTTCTAGTTAACATTAATTTCACTATCACATAATTAAAAAGTTATGATAATGCTTAACCCTAAAACACATTAACTAGATAGAAAGGAACAAATATGAGTCTAATATGGATGGAATAACATTAATTTCACTAATCACATAATATAAAAACTATGATAATACCTAATTAACCTCAATTTGTCATTATAAATGTGTTTTACCCTCAAAGATATTAACTAGATAGAATGAAGTTAATCATGTCATAAATTAATTAAGATTATTTTTTTAAAAAAATATAAACCTTTTGATTAGAGTAAACCTTCTCTAAATGAAGTGTTCAAATATCGTAAACCACCCAAATGAGCCTCTAATCACCAAACTTCATCTTTGATTGAGAGTAGTAAGAGTGACAAATGATTCGAGTGAGAAAGTGTTAGATTTATTATGAATGAAAGAGGGGGAAGGAATAAAGTTAAATACCCATTCAAATTGATCCAATGGTCATATTGACTATTGGAATCAGATAAATCTTAACGATTGATCAATCTTAGTTATCGACCGATATCGACAAAGCAATCTATGTTCCGATCAACTATTGAACTGGTACATATCATCTATCATCTATATCGATACATTCTGTGTTCCGGTACATATCAGGTGTGCCTACTGACAGGAAAAACATAGCAAACCTCAGGCTGATCTGGTAATGTAGCCAATTCTGGATTTAAAGGTGATTGCCACTGAAACAGTTGATCCAACGAACAAGCAGCAACAAAGCAGATCTTAATGCCAAAGAAGCAACATATTGAAGCCTTGTCAACGAAAGTTCGACTATGGCCAAAATTGCAGCAGAAAAACTTTCTAACAGTTCCTTAAATTCACTGGCAAGATCTTGTGAGACTGCTAATAAACCTTAAAAGAACTAATAGAATGCTAGACAACAGCAAGGGCACAATATGGTCATATGAAATGTTGAGAATCTTCATCTTCGGGGATGATACTAAAAGTTCGAGCACCGTTTCATTTCGTAACTTTTCATTGGCTAAGGAGCACAATGAAGGCCCCTTCTCTCAACTCCAGTAGAAAGACATTAGTAAAAGTTACAAAAGACAAAGTTGATTCCTTAGGATGACTAATTCAGTACGACCTGCACAATGGGTCCTAATAATCAGATTTCGCTCTTTTGCTTTTTCTTTTGCCATACTGCTTGAGTTTACTGGGGACCATAACGTGTGTCCATGCTTGCCAAATCCCTAGTCTGGATAGACAACTTTCTGGCAATCTCCTGTTATCAAGAATGGAAATTTAAAAGAAGACAACAAAATTAATTACTTCCTCTCCTTTCAAAGATCATATTATAAGAACTACTTGCACTCCATTAAAAGAACAAGGGTCTGTTGTTACCTAATTGATAGCTTCCGGAGCAATACCATCCAAGCAAAATGCTATAAGAAACTCCATTGTGTGAAATTGCCAGGAAAAGTACCAGAGCATGACTGAGTTGTTAGGCGCTAAAACATTTTGTGGCAGAGACAACCTTAAGTAGAGTTCAGAAGTTCCAACAGCCTCACTGTCTCTTCTTCTTTCACAACCTATCACCGTTCAAATTTGAAAATGAATAGTCCACGTCAGATAGATAGAGGACAAGAAACAACCAAAGTTTGAGAATATCAGAAAAATACATGTACTTAGGATAACCATTATACAGTAATTCACCAAAGTTGTGATTTTTATTATTCTAAGGCATCAGATTCCAAATAAATAATTTATAATACAAAAAAGTCTCCAGATATTGATGATACTTGAAAATTTCAATTCAAAATGATAGACCATGCGATTGCTGTATTTGCAGTTTGCTTTTACTCTATTAACAATGCCTATCACGGACATCATTTGCAGTCCCTGGAAACAAATTTAACCTTTACATTTTTTTCCTTGATCCAACCCAGAGAAATATTAGATGAAACTTAAAAAAACCAAATAGTATCCACAGAAAAATGATGATAATAATCTCCTATGGAAAAATTCAATATTTACAGAATCGACAAATTAGGAGGCATTTTGTTGCTCACAAGTGGCCTGCCTGCAAGAAATTTTGCAGCAAGCAAGTAGCCGACTTGAATGTATTGGAATGTATTGGACAACTTGCAAGTAAAGCACTTGCAGCATATAAACAGGCAACTTGCAAGCAAGCATATGCTGCAAGTAGACCTGTGATTTGAGAAACCGCATGATGCCCTTATCAGCTGTGTTGCAAGTCAAATTGGATTTTAAACTTTCTTCATCCTCTCACACATTGTCTAATCAGTGTCCTCTGTTCCTCCTCTATTTCAGTCTGTATGGCCGTTACCTCCTTCCTCTCCAAGCACTGCCTGCATCCTCCTCAACCTTAGTAGCAAGTGCAAGTAGTTACTATACATGCAACCATCCAAACAACTGTACACCTGCTATTTGTAGCATTTGTTTTGACTTTTGTACACAACTACTACTTGCAGGTATATAGCAGTTGTAGGCAACCAAAGGCCTCCTTATTAATATAATTCTTATTTAAAAAGGAAAACTAATATTTAAATGATTGAAGGATTAAGTTGTCTGCTGCAAAGTAATTCCTTATGCTCCTCTATTTCTGGCAATGGATCTACAGTTGCAGAAAATACCTTACAAGTCATTCCTTAGGTTCCTCTTTAAAATTCCTAGGGCATGTTTGCTTACTAGAAATTTTGTTTACTCAAATACAAAGTTCAACTTAAGAAAAAGATGGATATGATACTCCCCTCCATTCCAACCGTCTTTCTTCCCATGTACAGCATCCCACTAATTTTACGTTACCATACATCATTATCTACACAAATTGTAATATCACTTATATCTTGTAAACATTAAAACCCAACCACACTTGCAAAAAGTTACAAGCTGTGGGACAATGACATAGCAAAACAAATTACAATAAATAGCTCCACCATAATGAAGGTGATGGCAATAATGCATCACACTAGTTGCCAACAAGAATATCAATAAAAATGAAACAATTTTTTTACAGGATAAATCATTTGAAAAAAGATCAGTTGATGTATATTTTAGAAAAGGTAAAATAACCACAAATCAGCAAGAACATATATATATATATATATATATATATATATATATATATATATATATATATATATATATAGCCTTAATGGGAATAATGCAATACAAATGCATTATGATGACTATGCAAATGTCATCTTACTAATAAACACACCATTTCCATGACTCTCTTGCCTTATTGCAACAATCCAACAATCACAATGTTATCTGTCTTTATGTAAAATTGATAATTCTATTTTAAGAGAGACGAAACCTCTATCTACATGCATGTTTAGATTAGAAAGATGCCTCTGGAACTTCTTTTCAAGTGCAGGCACAGTATCACTTGATGAAGGTGGCCGAAACCGGTCGGTAGAAGCAAGATGGAACTCGCATGCAGATGGTTTTTTCTCTCTGGAACATGCAACTGTAATTCATTCTAAAAACATGCTATTCTTTACATGCATAAACCTTCCTATGCGAAAAAAAAACACCTTCCTCTGCAGATCAAAAGGAATTTTTACAATGATAATGAGAATCATCAGATGTGAAAATTTATTTTGAGGTCTCTCGAGTCTGTCAATGATCAGATCCCTAAATTCACAAATAAATGTTTAGCATTTAATATGCCACTCAAAAAGTAATAGTTAAAGAACAACCATCAAATAAGCAAATGATGCAAGCAAATAAGATATGCTCAATATTCATAAATCTGGCACCAACAAAATCAATAACTTACTGATGCTATGAAATTGATAGTGGAACTATCAAATATATGGATGCAAGGACCAGTTATTTTATAAAAGATTACCTTAATTGGGAGATCCTTTGGCAGACCAACTGAACTAAGAAAATCACGTCCAACTTGGTGCCAATCAATTGAAACAATAAGATTGTCCCTACTGCTTCTTAGTTGAGTTTGCCCATTTGCCTGTTCAAATTCACTCCCTATCCACAAATGAACACTACTACCTGTGTCTCCACTTCTGGTACTAGGAATCAAAAAAAGAAACACTGCTTTTGAATCGAGACCCTCTGTAGAAAATGTTGCTAGCTTTTCCATACTAGGCCAGCGGTACACTAGTGGCAGTTTTGGACTTGCGTTCTCTGATCTAATATCAACAAGTCTAGATGAGCCTTGTAAAAATTGATCATCTTGTTGCCGATGATTTCCCTTATTGTCTGCATAGTTTTCGGAACTACTAATTGTAGATTCACCTAAGCATTTGACATCTGACTCTAGTCTTACACTACTTGTACAGCCTATAGCATCATTGCCTGTGGTTTCACTAATATTACTTTTATCTATGACTTCTTGTGTACTATCACAAGCAGAAGATGTATTTAACACCTTCTTGGATATTAGTGAAGGACCTTTGCAGAGTGTTGGCAGTTTCAAGGGTGAAAAGCCTCCCCTTCTTTCAGCAATAGACTGTGCTAGATGTTTAGAGGAACATATTGCTCTGAAAGATGGTTTTGATGATTTGATGGTGCTCAGAATTTGTGGGGAAGGCCCAGTTGATGACAGCAAAGTGTCAGGCATGTCATGTGATTCAGGTGACAGCACAAGAGGAGTAGAGCATGCGGAAGGAGAAACTGAAGGTGAGTCTAAACTAGACTTTGAGCAAGTGCTTGAATCAGAGGAGTGAGAGCTGGGAGATGAATATGGAGGGGAAATCAATGTCTCTGCATTCAGTGACCGCAACCTATCAGAGTGGGTATCCATATCTTTCGATGATGCAGTATCTAAAAAAACTCGACTAATGTTTCCAGGTATAAACTTCCGCCTTAACACACTCCAGTTGCTTTCTCTTGTCGGAAGGTGCATCTCATACTCATGTCCTGAAGAGGAAAATGGTGGCACGATACCTCCAGAAAGAGCCTTGTAGAAAAGCTCAAAATCTACATCATAGGACTCAACTCTCCTTTTCCCTATGCCAGTCTTGGTTGCTGACTCAATTTGTACCTTCTTAATCTTTGTTCCATCATCTGAAGGTATAGCACTCAAGAACTTCTCCCAAAAGTCCAAGAGCTCCTTCCCTTCTTCAATCATCACGATTGGCCCCTGTACTCGTTCATACCTTACAACCTGAAACGCTGCAGCTTTTGCATCCTTCTCCATAATGGACTCACAAATCTTACCAATCCACACATAAATTGATGAGAGGACATGAATTATGAATGCGCCCCTCGAATCTAGTGCAGCTGGAGAAGGATCATTTAACATCTTCGGGACAAGGTGCAAAGAATCATACGGTGAGTGAGGTGCCATTCGGTACATCCTCAGCACTGAATTGGGGCTCAGTGGGATAGCATGCACCCTCTTCTGGCACTGCAGCAGCTGACAAGCAAAACCCATGTTCGGGTTGGCAATCCCTCTTGCTGCCTTTACAAACTGAAAGGCATCATCAAAGCTCTGCCCTTCCCTCCACATCAGGTAAGCTATAACCAGCGAGGTGGACCGCGAAACGCCCTGGCAGCAGTGGACAAACACTCTCCCCCCCTGCTGTCGAACATCCTCAAAGTAATCAAACACATCATACAAGATGCTCGTGATATCCTCTGTCGGGCTATCTTGCAACCAAAGGGTCTTGTAAACAAGATCCGACTTGAAATACTCCGGGCAGACAAAGCCAACGCAATTTAGGACATGGGTGATCCCATGCTGCCGGAGGATTTCACGGTTCCTAGCCACGTAATCTCCACCAAGGTATATATGATCTGCAACCTTGGAACACTCCTTGTCAAAGAAGGCGATCTGATCCCTCTTTCCTTGGGATCTCAGTGAGGAAAGATCCAGCTTTAAGCTATCACCCAGCTTTAGGGCGTCAGGCTTTGCACCTGGGGTCGGGGGGTGTGGCCACTCTCCGATGTCGTCAGAGCCCGCCTTCGGCCACTCACCCAAGCTCCGGCGGGAGATCGCGAGCGGCTGGAGAGGCGGGAGGCAAGACCTAGCCTTCTGGGTCTGGGATCTAGGGGTAAGAGGAGGTACCATGCGGTGCTTGAACTGTCCATTGCTCGCGCTCTTCTCCTCGGAGGCACAATCCCTGGGGTGGTCCAGGGCGGAGGTCCGGGAAGCAGACCACGACGCCGATCTCCAGAAAGTTCTCCGGCCACCGGGGAGCGGCCCGGCGGCGGAATCCTCTTCACCTCCCATCGCCGCACTCGCCCTCTCAAACAGCGCCTGAAAGAAACCCTAAATCGTACTCCTCGACTCCAATCAGAACCAGATCGACATCCTCTCAAACCTAAACAATAAGCAAGATGAAATTTTTACTCAAAATAAAGCCAAAATGAGCCAAAATGCATCAAAACCCCCAAATTTAGGCTCGAAAAATAGGGAATGAGTCGAATTTTAGCTTTTCGCCAGCAGGACGCACTGGATTCAGAAAAAAATGGAGCTTGAGAAGGAGCCAAAGAAAGCCAGGAAGTAACTTTAACATACTAGCGTGGATCGACGACTCTTGGCATCGAATCGATGGATGGAGAGACCGAGAGATGAGACTTAACCCTACGCGAGAGAGAGAGAGAAGAGAGAGAGAGAGAGAGAGAGCGATGGGTCGGATCGAGCACTTGGCGTAGCGAAAAAGCACGGCCGCGAAATCGAACCATTCGGCACCCGAAGTCACGTCACAGCCGTCGGATGGATCGATCACGGGCGCGATTTGGCAATGAGGCAAGGATCACGGTACAGCTGGCGTAAGAGGGGCCGTGTTTGACCGGTAGGGTAGTTTGACTGGCCGTCGTCTCGTGGACTGCCCGCGGGCGAACGGTGACTTGGGCCGCGTCAACATTTGGGCCCACCAGCAAGTCAAACCAGCTTGAGCTTTAAGACCAAATTGTCCATCTTCCGTGTAAATATACGACTTTCTATATTGATCGTACGAAAATTAGATTGCGTTGAAATCAATTATTTCAAGAAATAATCAAATGTTTCTAAAGATATAAAAGAAAGTTAACAATGGAATCAACTATATTAAACATACAGAATAATAAATCAAACAAGATCTGATAAATTAATGGCATGTCCAAAATAATGCAACTAAAAAAAATGATATTTGAATAAAAATCGATATTTTTAATTTTTAAACTAAATCAAGGACGAGATTATCAGTGAATATTGTGGATCATTAAAATAAGTTTTATTATATATATATATATATATATATATATATATATATATATATATATAGAGAGAGAGAGAGAGAGAGAGAGAGAGAGAGAGAGAGAGAGCGAGAGAGAGAGAGAGAGAGAGAGAGAGAGCTTTGAGAAGCCCAGGCCCATTCTTAGGCCTAATCGGGTCGGATTTCGACTCGATCGGGTAATTGCTCAAAATGGGTCGGGTTTCACTTGTGCCCATATAAAAGCCCAGACTGGTCACCGGCCCAAGGCTTGAATACGAACACGGGATCATCAATTTAGGTTATAGGGGGAGGAATCGGGGCGGAGAGAGAGAGAGGGGCATCAGTTCGAAGCGGAAGAAATATGGCGGCTTCGAAGCTGTTCTTCCTCAAGAGCGCCCTGAGATCCAGGATTTCGCCTCAGAACCATCCCCTCATTCGAATGGTTCAGCTGAGACGCCTTTCCACCGAGGGCGAAAAGCCGCAGGATGCTTCGGAGGATCCATTCCTTCGGTCTTCCGAGGAAGGTAGGGTTGCAATCCTGCATTATTGGGGTTCTCATTTCGAGTCAAATGCCTCAGCCTAATTTCGTGCTTTAGGCTTTGGATCATCGATTATTTTTGCTGATATTGCAGTTTGATGTTGTGCAAACATTGTCTTAATAGTACATCATGCTCGTAGTGTGGCACTGGGATCACATCACTAGGCCACACATCACGTGTTCATAGCTCAAGTTCGTTTCTTGTCAAAATGCTGACTTTCCTGTTACGATTGGTTATGACACACGATATACTCACCAACAGTTCCCTTCTATATTCAGGTTTGGTCTTTGGTAAACTGACAGGCACCGGGAGAAATGCACTGAAGACTGATGTTATCCATTTCTTTGAGGGATGTAATTTGTCAACTACTGATATAAAAGTTGAGTACAACAAGGCATATAATCCACTCGGCATGTATGTCTTTCTTTTACTCTCCTGTTTCATTGATTTAGTTCCTGTGGGTTTTCATGGATAATATAAAGCAAATTCGTCACAAACTGGATATTGTTTGCATGGATGTGCATCTTGTTTCCCGATTGTTTGCAAGGGGTAATATAGTCACACTTCCTTTGTTCTTTTTTAATGCACATGGTGAATGCTGAGCTAACCTTTTGACTGGGAAAAGGAATCATATACTTAGCATGTAGTTGATATATGAAAGAAAATGATTTTCATACTGTTGCCATTTAGTGAATTTGGTATATTTTAGGATTTGACTTGGCCAATCAATGAACAGTTACCGTGATCTTCTGTTTGTATGCTTCTGACCTTCTTCCATAGAATTATTAGAAACCACAAGATTCAAAGAGTTTAATGTTTGTTTTTTTTTTAATCATGCCCTTTTGCCATGGTCTTCTGTCTTCATGCCTTCTGAACTTCTTCCAAAGAACTATTAGAAACCGAACATTTCGAAGAGTTTAATGTTTGTTGTAGAGAAACTCATGCCTTATGAGGAAAAACAGAATATTTAGTGAAAAATCTGATTTTTTATTTTTGCTCTTTGATTGTTCTATAAATTTTTTGTAACTTGATATGCACAGAATTAATTTTACTTTCATCTAATCTCTTTATGTGTGATTCATGAAGAACCAGATAACATGTTCAGCATCATTTAATTTTGTAAATTTGGACAAGTGGAACATATTTTTTTGATGTTTGTTTCTTTAGTGATACGTTCAGATATTCAGTTGCTTCATCATACTCTTCTTGGATTTTTTTTTTCCTACTTCATACATCGGCATTAGTACCATTGACATTATATTACACACTTTATATGTAAAAGATTGACAATCTGAAAGCCAAAACATTGCTTGTGAAAATAGGTTGTTGCAGTTCTCTTCCCGATCTTCATTTGACATGGCAGTGAGGCAAACTGTTAGAAAAGGCCGCCTGTACAAGTTAGAGAAAGTAAGAGCAGCTAAACCTGTTCTCCAAAGTTTAATTGATTTATTCGATGAACTTCTTAGCTGAATGATCATAATTATTATCTTACAGGTGGATCGCTCCCATTGGGACTTTACAACCTCATATGATGGGAAAGCAGTGAGTAATCTATTATATTTCTTTATTAAAGTCAAAATATTTTGTTATCTAATATTTATGTGCATTATTTAATTCAGTCCTTAAGAGTGAGGAATTTTCAAGAGTCTAATTTAGCGAATTCTATTAGTTGGGGATATCATGTACATACACCCATGCTATTACTTTGTTCCATATTTGTAGAGAATTTGCGCACTATTCTGATAGATTGCTTAAAGTAGATGATTAAGCATAAAGGTAAGATTACTTGCAATTTGGAAGGAGATTTTTGGCTTTTGATCAAGATGAATTTCTTGATGTCCTCTGAAGACAAAGTGAAGTGATTGTTGAACATTAGCATAATCTACTGATGATTGTTTAGGTTTCAACTACCAGAGCCGTGCCCTTGATGATCACGCACAAACCTTAATGATTTTCCATTTCTATGCAACAGTCACATTGATTTCCTTTTCCAACAGATCCAACATATAGACAATGAAGTGATTTTCATATTGGCAGATTATCGATTGTGAGTTTTAGTTTGTTGGTTGCAATTCTCCATTAAGAAAATTCAAGAATTTGATCCATATTTTGGTAGGAAGTAAGATCTTTGTTTGAGGGATCAGAACGTTAGATTTGCTTGCACTATCTAAGATGGTAAGGAAGCTGCAGAGGACCTGAGATTTTTTTATATTGATCAAAGCCTAAGTGACTATCAAGATAATCTTAGCAGCTAGAGATGTTTGCATATTGTTGGGTGTTATTAAATGTCAAGCTGAAAGTTTTCTTACTATTGGATGAATAAAACAATGAACTAAACAATCAAATCTGCAATCTTATCTAAGATTAGATAAATTAAAAACCATAGTGATGATTGCATATTAAATAAGAATTGTTAGCAGGCGATAACAATGGAGTAAAGAGATTTTAGGAATGAAGAGCACATGGAGGGACCGAGAGAGGACTCCAGAGAGGTTATAGTTGAACTTGTCTCCAAAATTCATTTTTGATTAGATAAAAAGAAAGTTGGACACCACTTGAGACTTATTTAAAGACAGTAGACACAGGATTTGATTACTTTTTTCCAAACCTAGACTGGATATGAAGTATCTATATTCTATTGTCAACTAATGTATACATGCAGATGTATCAAGACCAGTAAAATTTTGTGAAGTTTTGGTTATCCAATGGCAGCTAACTTATTGAAGCCTATAATCTTTTATTTCTACCAAGGCAAATAACTATTCCTATACATTGTTAATTGTCATTAGTATATCATTTAAGTGACCATGGCCAATGCATGCTGAGTTTGATTCTTGGTTTGCACTGTCTTCATTGTGCAGTTGTATTGTCACAATTGCTTTTTGTTTTGGCTGAAATATTGAACAACTATTTTGGATATATTGTTCACCCATAAGTCAGATGACTAATTGCAGTGTCATATATTATAACGTAAAAACTATTCTGTGATTATGTTCTTTATTTCTGTCTTAACTTGTGGTTAAACTGATAGAATATTTGTGTTAAAATGTTTGACAGGTTCTGCTACAAGGTATTCCTCGTAATGCCCTTCAAGAAGACATAGAGCGCTTTTTGAATGGTTGCAACTTTGATCCTTCGAGATTTCAGACCTTTGTCAGGTGTCATACTCCCCCATTATTTGCATTTATGTAGGTTTGTATCATTTAACATTAGGTACCTTATATTATTTCCTCATTGCAGGCAAGGTTTCCCAGATCCTATAAGGGTTTCACTTGTCCACTTCCCTACGCGAATTGATGCAATGAACGCCATCTGTTGGAAAAACAGGAGTTTCTGTCTCAACAATCCTATCACGATGCGAGTTCTCCAATAGATGGATGTGCTCTTTCCATTAGAACGACATGGTATGGATTGGTTGGTGTGATGAGCTTATCTTTGCTGAGGTACAGAATCTTTGTTGCATTTAGCTGGTTGGTTCACTCAATCTGCTACGTATTTGCAGTGACCTACACACTAGGACAACCAAAGGCTACAAAGCTTTGGATCTGATTTCAGTACTCCTAATTGCATCATTACATATTTCAGATTCCAAAAGCTACTGATTTATATGCTACAAGTTCATGAATAATAGTCTTTTCGAATTGCTTGACAAGAAGGTTAAACCGAAGGGTTGTCTGGTCCAGTTAGACTAATTTTACTGGTGCAGTCTTGTGAGATGAGGTCTTGAAACATCCATCTAATTCTGGGTGCTATTTCTTCAGTTAGATTATTGTGGATGCATGTTAGTGTCTGTAATCATGTGCATATTATCCAATTACCTTAGTGCTGCTCTAATCATTTATATATGGTTTATATGACAAAATTACAACATATCATCAAATACATGCAAGTACTGATCAATTAGTAACGTACTCGGAATAATGACCGACCAATTGTAACATCTTTCTTTATGTTTGGAATCGGTAGCTACATAAACGCCACAGCCAATGCCCAGTTGAATGAGAAGATGCTTATAATTACCTCTCCATTCCCTGCAAGAGTTTTAGAATAAAATGCTACCTTATTGGGTGATAAACATAGTCATGTAGTAGATATTTGAATGATACAAGGGAACATTCAACCTGATGTGGTTTTAGAATGACATGCCACCTTTACATCCAAAAGATTAGTTTTGGTGTTTGAGAGTTCGATTTCTCATCGTAAGTTGACACCTAAAATACTAGTCTAACTATAGTTAAGTTGGTAAAAACTTTATTAGATCATGCTGTGTTAATATCATTAATGAGAATGAAAGGGTTAGAGTATCTCCAGGATATAATACTAAGGGTTAAGGTGTAGAGCACTGTGAACATATCTATTCTTGGCAACAGTGATGAAGATAAGATTTAAGGTTTTTATTAATTATGCTAGCTATTACAAATTTGGTAGTCAGCTAGCTATCATCGCCTTCCACACATCACAAATTTGGTAGCTAACTAGCTATATCACCTTCGATACTTAAAACAAATTTGGTAATGAGAAGTGGGGGAAAAAGAGAGGAAATGTGATGGAAGGAGTCGTAGGAGAGGAAGGAGAAGATAAGGTTTTCATCTTCAAAACCATTAGAAACATAGTAGTTTGCCCAGCAGTGAGTGAGGGAAAGAGACGAGTGCTCTGGACGGAGTCGTAAAAGTAGCGATGGCGACTGTCGATTGCTCTACGACGGAGTTAGGGACTGCAAAAAGGAATCAATCAACGGTGTTATCGGATTGCATTCACTTGAACCCGAATCCAATAAACTTATGAATTCAAAACAGGATTCGTACGGTACCAGGTTTGTGCGCATTATTGCGTGCAGGTAAGAAGGAGAGGGGACCCATCCCCAGTCCAACAAGTTTATTGAATCTTAGATAAAATATTGAGGCTCCTCCGTATACAATAAATTAGGCAAGAAGTTGAAACTACATTCCACATACTTTTTAAGTGACTAACTTAAAATCAATCATAGTTGGCAGTCACATTTCCGTAATAACCATCACTTTGAGTGCACAATTTTAAATAATAAGATATTTAGAATAGTACATTGTGGTGTATATTATTTTTAACGATTTAAAAAAATATTATTATTATAATAAATTTTGAGCTTCCAATATACTATAATGTAGGTATTGTCGGAACGCTCATCAAATCGATATGAAACAAATGATATGTTTCGATGCAGACGTAGAAAATAATGATTCATGAGCCCTCTCATTGTTATCCTCTTATCGTCATCCCCTCTTCCTTCCCCGTCGATTGTCTTTCTTTTCTCCTTCGTCATTATAACATTAGTATCGATTTCTCCTCCACTGTCTTTTTTTTTCTTCTTCATCTTTATAACATTAGTATTAATATATCAAGATATCTCGATACATCAATATGGATCGATATGAATATAATATAATTCTTGCTATTATGTGTGTATTTATTCAACAAATTAATTTTACAATGTGTAGGGGCAATTAAAAAGAATGGCAAGTCAATCACGGGCGTTGGGCCTCATAATGTTCAATTTGTGTACATAACTTTAACATATAGAACGGAAAGTATTTATCTATAAAGACTAAATAATCATATTATTACCTATTAGACACTTTTGAGTTAATGATTCAAGATCAATAAATTTAATCAATGGATTAATCCATCAACCGCGATCGTGACAATTAGATGGCCAATTAGTGAGGTCTCACGCTACTGCTACAGGATACAAACGAGACTAATCTACGGATATGCTTCCAACTTCATAAAGGGATTTCTTTCGCATAAGATCCTGACTTCCTCCTGAAATCATACAACACCAAAGCAACAAGAAAAATATTTATGACCATCGAAATAAGTTTCAAAGATTATTTCACCCTTCATACTCAATTTCATGCTTCAACAGAGATATTATCAGCAAGTGGAACTGCATCCAGATTCATCTTCTCACCTTGAAACCAACGCTACTTCCCACAAGAGAAGAAATCCTCAGTCTCACTGCCAAACCAAAGAGCAACATTAAATGACTCCGAGTCAAATATTGTCCTGTTGCTCAATAATATGCACAAGTACTATTTCACAAGATCACTTAGATCCCTATACCTGTGCACCATATAGGCTGATACCACCTGAACAAGGTTTTGTCACAAACGAAGCCGAGCCCTCCACTGTCAAACAAAGCAAAGCAAAGTTCCATAATTGCTAATTGTATCTAATTTTGGTGCAAATTTTCATATCGTCATGTTAGATCAAAAAATCCTCTTCCTATGATGCTATACACCTCTTCAAACACCAGATTCTTGTATTTTGCTCATGGTCTGATGATACCAATAGCAAGATCCAAGGTCGCTGAGTACATGAAGATTCTGACTCACATCCCGGATCACATTCTGCTTAGGTAGGAACACCAGCTCCTTTAAGAGAAAGTATTGGACTATGGCACAAGTTCTTATTTATCAGGGCAGAGTCTAGAAATAGAACAATGACAGTAATGTCGTCATGGAAATGTCTCCTGGTGCCACGATCCATCTTTTCCAGGTCAGAGTACCTCATCTCTCTTTTCCTTGCTGCTTCTTGAATTGCAGCTTTGACAAGCCTCCTTGCTATTCCCTGCATGATTAAGCACTATAGGTTAACTATCATGAAATTTGGATATTTAATAGCAGATGGAAAGCCGAACCTTAAGCATAAGAAAACAAATTCCGTAGCAAAAATCAAAAGACGTTATGAAGCTGCTCAGAATCATAATCAACAAAATAAGTTTCTGAATTAATTGCATTGATGAAACTAAGAATCCTGAAGTAGTAGGGTTTGTTACTTTGGGCTGATAGCACTAATATAGAAACTTGTAAATTTATTAGTGAAGTGTGACTCAAAAACAAGTCCACCATATGAACTCAAACTTAAAATATGATCTACGATGCATAAGCATTTGACCGGTAACTTTTCAAATAAGAAAAGACTTCCATGAGTTTTTACAGAAATGCACAAGATTGCTCATGAATAAGGAATCAGAAAGAGCATCCAATTACTGCCTTCAAAAAAAGTGATTTATATATCAGTAAAAATCACCATTTTAAAAGAAGTGATTTATGTATCAGTAAAAATTCACCACTTAAAAAAAAAGTGATTGATGTATCAGTAAAAATCTTGGTAATATAGCAGTGCATCATATTAGAGCCATGATGCGATCATATATCTGCTAAAGGTAAAAAGTTCACAAAAAACGAAAACACATGACTTGTACTGTTCAAAAGATAAAACCTAAAGGAGAACAAGAGAGAAGATGATCTTACACTACGAGGTGTGTTATGGATCATATCCACAGCCTCTTCATTCGTCAAATGCTCCCATAAACCATCTGATGCGAATATCAAAAATTGATCTTCAGGACAGAGTTTATGTGTCACTATTGATGGCTCAGCACTAAGGATTGGTTTTTCGATGGGTTCAGGCAGCCGAAACCTTGACAATAGAGGTTCACGGTTGAACTCTGCATTTTTCAGATAAGCATCTCCAATAGACCTTGAAACCTGCAGAAATTAAAGAAATCAAGAGGTAGAAGATGTTTAGAAGATATTCATGGCCCAATTTTCTAACCCTAAAATCTTCTTGTATGCACAAAAGCCAGACAGAAACACTGCCATCCACATGAAGGGTTATCTAGAAATATTGGTCACTGGCCAACATGTTACAAACTACACACCTTTAGGGTCATGTGCAAAGAAACTGTTGCTATAATATATAGAAGAAACTATTGCAGACTAAAAAGCCAAATGACTAATTCTGCAAGATAACAAATTTAAAAGCATAGGTTCAAAATGACTCCAAGTGGCAGTTCAACTGAAATTCATATTTTGTATTTTAACCAAGTTCAATTAATTTAAAAATAATTTGAGGTTCAATTTTGGTTATGATGTACCACTATAATAGAAAGCAATATAGCCAACTATCCAAGTTTAATTTGAGACAAAAAGTTTCTAGAGAAAACAAGCCATTAGAATTGTCTAGGAAGGTATATAATGGTAATGATAATGTTCCGATTATAGCCCCAAAAATTTAATATCCTCAAGAGTCACACAAAAGAAATTATTCAATCTCCAAGAACCCTTCGCTCACCATAAGGACGTTGTCATTTGATGCAAAAGCATAATAAACACAGGAATTGATCATGATGCAATACACAAAAGTTATTTAAAGTGCATGTTGATGTACCAACATTATAGGAAATAAAGGTGTTCAGAAGCAACGAATATGCATGAAATCTATTTCCACTCAATAATGGGCAAAACAGTTTCGGAAGATGGATTACCTGTATAAGGCCTTTGACACGCCAAACCTTGTTCTTCAAAACCACAATATTTGGATCATCAGGATGCAACGACCGCAGCTCATTCCTCACGGATTCAAAGCTTGCATTGTGCTCGGTGCACATTTGTACTGCTGTAACCTCTCCAATACCTTCCTCAAATCTCCCTAGCACTACTCGAGAATCTCCAACATTTGCCACAAAAAGCATCCCACTAGATATGACACCGACCAAACAACAGGAACCAACAGAGGCAACCTGCGGCTTGATGAGCCACTGCTTTCTCACAAGAGAGATGAAGTCCTCTTCGGTGGCTGAAAATGCTTTCCTTATTACATCTGCTGACATGTCCGGTTGTTCTGATGCAAATTCTGCACATCATGTCCACTGTTACCACAACTATCACATGCTAATTAAAAGTAGCTTTCAGACCACTGATTTTTTTCATAAAAGACGTGAATCTTTCGATTACAACGAGCAAAACATAAGCTGCAGAATAAGTGTCAATTAGCAGTTATTAACTTATCATTACGAAAAGAAATCAATTCACGTCATTAAAATTCACGAATTAAAAGATGACATAGCAAATCTTCGGGTAAAATTCAGAAGATGAGATGTGCAATGGAATCCATAGGATGCCAACTGGGTCACACTGATGGTATAATAGGCAATAGAACATATACAGAAACACAATTCAGAGACAATGACAATTAAGCGAAAATCTCCAATGCAGAACGGCTATCCATGAAGGGAACACCCAATTGAATCAAATCTATGTTTAAACCGCAATCTGATGAAGAACACATTAAACATAATTCTACTCAACAAAGAGAAAAAAATGTGTACTTTTGAGGTTAGGGAACAGATGCTCCGTGATGAACCGCGACGCCTCCGGGCCGCCATGGCCGTCGTAGACCCCTACGAACGTGCCGTGGGGGCCATCCGCGGCCGCCGCCTTGTTCCAGCCCAGCGGCCCAGACTCAATCTGGCTCCGGTCCTCCAGGAGGTTATTCGCCTGGACCACCGCCATGGAGAACTCCCCCACTGCGTGGCTGCCGAGGTCCTTGTACCAGAGGAGGCCTTCGGCTCGGGCGGAGGAGTCATGACTAAATCTCGCCCACTTCCAGCAAGGGCTCACGATCTTCAACAGCGACGATGATCGGACCATCCGCCAGTCATTCGGATCACCACGATCGCACGCTTTGTTCTTCGATCGCCCAATCTCGACGGTAGTGGAATAAAAACGGGGAGCGTTTCGTAGGGGAAAGGTAAGAGGAGAAGGGCGAGCGTAGGTTTCCGCGAGCGCGCGTTGGAATCCGCGGCGGGGGTTTTGGTTTGCTATCGACTAAGCCGATGCGACGAAAACGACTATTTATGCTCCTCCGCTTTTATTTCCCTAAGCTGTGGGGGGTCGGTCGAAGGCAATACCTAAATGTTGTTGCCAAACATCATTATCGTATTGCTCATCTTAAAATTACATGTTTATCCTCGTTTAATTCTTTATTTATTTATTTACCATCTCAAATGCAACACTATATATATACATATATATATATATATACATATATATATTTAAGTGGATTTTTTTTTTTGTTCCCGCTTAAAATCCATAGGGCGAATTTTGGAAACAAGATTTTGGTTTTGGCTTTTTCTCAAAAAGCATCCCATTTTTAATTTTTTCCTTTTATAACTTTTAAATTTTATCCCTAAAAAAGGTGAGGGGTATCTTTCCATTCATAAGATACCCGCAATGTCACATTGATGGTATATTAAATAAATTCTAACCACGTTAAAAAAATTTTAATTATTTAAAAAAGATAAAAATAAGAAATAGATCAAAGTGTTATAATAAAATTATTTAAAAATAAACATAATATATTTTTAATAATTATTTATTGGAATTTTTATGATATATAATTTCTAACTGAAATTAAAAATCTTATATATTAAATATTAGCTTAAAACAATGAGTTTGATTATGTATTTTTATAAATTTTAAATTTTTTTAATTTATTTTATATTTTATATATTATTATATTTTTTAATATTAAGATGGTTTAATTTAATTTACCAGATCGATTCTTAATGCATTAGATCAGATCAAAAAAGAATCTGTTGTAAAGAGATAAAAGAGAAATAAAGAGGGGTTATTTTTAAAATTTGAAATATAGGATTGATCTAATGAAAACAATAAAAATGAGACTTTTTTGAAAAAAAAATAAAACCAATGGATTGTTTTGGGAATTCTCCATATATATATATATGGAGAGGAGATAATTATTTACAATTAAGACAATAATACATTTGAAGGATAGTAGCTCAAGAGCTAATAGGGGTATTTGGGTGATTTTACTCATTCAAGTATTATTCTTTTCTCTTGAGCTATTGTAAAGAGTGGGGTTGGGTTTGGTACGAAGGGATTGAATTAAAAACAATGGAGGGAGGTTGCATAAGGTTGTCTTTGATTTGACGAAGGGATTGGTACCACCAACCTCATGTTTTGTAGCCAACTTTTGGTCCTCTCTCTCTCTCTCTCTCTCTCTCTCTCTCTCTCTCTCATGCAAAAGTTTTTTTTTTTTTGACAAAAAGGAGCAAACTATATTAATCAAAATCATTATAAAGGTTGCAAGGTTCTAATTGAAAGGAATTTAGAAAATAGATCAATTGTGGTGAGCTAATTCAAAAATAACTTTTATAAAAAAAATTTGATCTTTGGCGTGACAGTTAATTACTATTTACTGTGAATGATACATAAGATACCTTAGAGTAAAAGGTTCACACGCAAGCATCATTAAAGTAGTCGTTAAACACATGAATACACAGGATGCACGAGATAAGTAAGGGATCAAAGATCTCATGCAGTTCAACCAAATCCCAACAACCATCAGATCACAATGATAGTGTTGAGATTCTCAACACTATTAATATCAAAGAAAATGAGCCATCTACTTAAAGGGAGGTTGCTTTAGAGGGAGATTGCTAAGCCAAGGTCTTATCAAAGTTTAGTACATATGTTATTATCTATAAATTTTTTGAAGGCTGACTAGGTTGAGAAGGTGGACTAAGTCCTCTTCTTGTATAAAAAACTTGAGAGGGTTTTGCAAAGGAAACCATTATGCCAACCCTTAATTTTGCCTATGACTCTATCAACCATTCCCTTAAAAGGGATTCAAGAATACTATTATAAGAGACAAATGTACTCATATATGTTATGGGCAAGATCCTTTCTTTAATACTAAAGTTGCAACATTATCTATGTTTGAAGGATGGGAGATTGGTCTTAGGGAAATATATATAAGATTTATTAAGATTCAATTTAAAGTTTAGTTAGGCTAGCAAAAAGATCTATAGTAGACAATATATTCAAATAGGACTTAGACTTAGTCCTAAAAGTCACATTATTTGCAAACATAAAACGAGAAACCTTGACTCTTTTAATATTGAATAGGGTGAATCTGTTAGAGCCCATAAGGTTCAAAAGAATGGAGGCGGGTATCTGTTGCACAAGAATGTAAAGATAGAAGGAGATGAGGCCCTCTTGTTAGATGCCTCTATGACTCCAAAACCATTTAGAGGTTTAGCCATTGATTAAGCGGGTGAAACTAAGGGAGGACAGGCAAGTAGATACCCAAGAGATGAATATTGTAGGAAAGTTTGTGAGTTATAAAACCCTAGAAATGATAAGCTAGGAGATGCTATCAAAAGCCTTTTAAGGATTTAGCGTGAGAATGATGAGGAGAATTATCTTTAGAATTAGTCATAGAGTGAATAAGTTTGGTGGCAATGAAGATGTTATCGTGAATTGAGTGCCTTGCCACAAAGGCAAATTCCTCTTACTACACAAGGTGGTTAAGGTGAATTATAATTCTATTAGACTTTTGATAGCATCTTCGAGATCATATTATACAAGACAATGAGTCTGGAGTTCTTAATTCTCTTAAAATTATCTTTCTTAGGAATGAAGACAAGAAAGATCTTTCCCTAGCTCGAGGGAAGGGAGTGAAAATTTTGAAATATATTAAAGGGTTTAGGGACAATCTTTAAGATCATCCCAGTAGGTCACGAAGAATTATATATTAAATTCATTAGAATAAGGGCTTTTGCCTCATCCCATTTGCTTTAATGCTTTAATAAATTTGGCTTCAGAAAAAGAGTGGCACAGAAACCTATTGTTATAGTTGGTAAAGACAAGGAGAGAGGAGATTCAGTTCCATCTTTGTATAGAAGGGGGGGTCCAAGCAAGCACACAAGGAAGAATACCAGTTGGAAAAATGGGATAGAATTTCTTCATCATTCCGAACTATGTTCTCCACTATCATACTTAATTAGATTTATTTGATTCTTACGGTATTTGTGGATATGACTCATATAACATGAAGCCATCTATTGAGAGCAACAAGCTTATTTTGGAGAGAAAGGAGTGTGGAGTAAGCAACTATGGTAATCATTGGTTTTAAGGGCAACAATGTTCTTGCCAATATTAATAATAGCCCTTTTAAGGTTTCTGCCATATTTGTAGTGCCAACATATAAGGAGATGACTGATCCGATTAAGTTTACGGTGAAGATCGATGAGGGGTTCACTAATTCTGATATTGTCCCTTAAGTAGATGGAGACAATATTGTTGACTTTATGGTAATCGAATTAGTAAGGGAAGTGTTGGGAAATCTAGGAGCGACATCACATGCGCAGCGGAAGAACATAAAAATCAAAATCCCCAATTTTCAAAGATGTGTTTGTTGTCGTGCGAAGATTAGTGTGCAAAATTCGTGAAACAAAAAACTGCGTATATTAAAAATTGTGTTACCTATGGAGATCATATATCCTTGAATCACTATAGATCTCTATGAGAGAGTGAAGGAGGTCAAGCACCCTCCTCTCTAGAGGTGATCCATATAGTAGGGCTGCGACGACGCTCCTTAAAACTTCAGGCCTGCTCTGAGGAGGAGAAGGGGAGGAGAAGACAACCAAAAAGGCTCTAGCCAATGAACCACTAGTTTCCTCCTATTTATAGAGGTCCCCTATCAACTTAACCATAATGGATCCTGCCCTATTGGGTATTTGATCTTCATCTGACTACTCAAACCTCTTAGATTAATAGGTGTCTATCCAATAATGTCTCATTAGTTTTTATTTTTTATTAGATCTCATACAAAGGATCCAATAATTCAAGGGTTTATTGGATATCCAATAAGATAGGGGCTTTGGTGGATATCTCATATATGAACCTCTACTCATCGCAACGCCTACCATATGTGTGTGACCCTCTAGGCTCAATATTAAGCTAGCCATAAGTCATACCTATCAGAACTCCTTCTGGCTCAATGAATTATTATCTCCATAATAATTCACTTGACTCATCGACTACGGACGTACTAGGCCACTACGTCGTAGTCCTTAGACGATATAGGAGAATCCAATCAATTGAACTTGTTTGTCCTCAATTACTATATACATATAGTTCATTATCCATCTAATATCCTAGAGACCGTATATCGAGCATGGTGCTGTCAGACTCATACGGTTTCTGCTCGAGTCTCGCTCTAATTGGATTCTCCCGGAGAACTCTTTATCTCTCAATCTGAATAACCATGGTCAGGGATTTGTCTCAATAAAAGTACATGGGATATTCCTCTCATAATACTTAAAGTGGATGATCCTCTATCGACACTCAATAGTCCTCACAAGATTGGCTACCACTCCCGATGACCAGCTACACTAGATTTAGAACTTCTAGACCTATAAGTCTAGTATCAAAGAATGGAGTACTCATACATGACATCCTTGGTGTCTCAAGTTTAAGAACTAGATATACCACTAGGACTATAGAATCATTGTCTGACAATAAGACATCATCAATCATCCAACATTTTGTAAGCGGATCAATCAGTGAACTCATTCCCCAATGAGCACATGTACTGTATCCCTAGTGTCCCCACACGAGCAGTTATGAGACCAGCTACATCCATCATATGGATGGGTATACACCACACTGGTTTGTCTAGTTATCTCAATGTCCCTCTCGAGTAACTTATGATCGGGATTATTTAGGATATGTGTTTAAAAGTGAATCGATCTTATTATCGTCATCTCGTCACGATCTGATTCCCATTGCACAGATCCATGGATATCACAATATATTCAAGTGTATATACAACAATCAATATAAAGTGATAAAATGTCAAAATATAATAAGCAATAAGACTGCGTGTCAAGTCACACATGTCATCACTCACGTGATTGGCTTGTAGGGCACCTATGATTAGCAATCTCCCACTTGACCTAAAGCCAATCACCTATATGTTTGATCCCCATCAGACCCCTATGACACTCAAAGATAATCTGAGATAACGACTTTATCACTGGATCTA